TTTGGCCTCAGGGAGCACCAGCCAGACGTTGCCCAATAGCATGTTTTTCCATGGGGTGGACATTGGCCCTGTGTGACAGAGGATGAGTGTACGCGTGCACTTGCAAGCGTGAAAGAGTTGTGTGAGTGGGTTGTCAGCTGGATGTGAAGATGTCTGTGTGAGGGGCATAGGTGTGCACGTGTGTGAATGTGCACTGTGAGTGTGCGAGCGCATTACTGGCTGAGTGTGGATGGAGATCCTGTGTGCGTGTGAATGTGTGAGTGCATGCATACTGGTCTCTGACCATCTCAAGTCCCTCACAAGGACGGGGCAGAAGGCTGATTGATCCCATCATGATCTCCCCCACTAGGCACCTGGGGTGTCTGTAGTCAGCTCTCAGGGACTTGATGTCCTTTTGTCATTTGCTGGTTCTTAGTTGAAACCTTGGGGCCTAGGAAAGGTGACAGCAGTGCATGGGGTGCACTGGAAATATCACCTGGTCTTCATTAGTTACATGGTTGCCATGGTCACTGTTAGAGGTTGATGACCACAGGCAGTGACGGGTTCAGGGTGATCCTAGAGCGTGATGTCCAGAACACTGTACATTTTGGTAAGACAGCAGTGGGCCCTCCAGGGCAGGACAGCCAGCGGGAGGCTTGTGGTGGTGGCTCCAGCTGCCCACTGCTACCCAGCCCTCAGACCTCTTTCAGAATCACCTTCCCGCCTGCTCCCGTGTAGTGCTAGGAGCACTTGAGGGGTGAAAGGTCTGCCTTGGACCTTCCCTTGAGGTCCTCATGGTCCCATGAGGGTGGTGGACACAATGCTGCACACAGCAATGGGACCAGAAGGGCCAGCATCCACAGAACTGGGATGTCTAGAGCAGAGACCAGAGCACCAGCAGCTCGTGAATCCTGCCATAATATTCTGCTTTACACAGGCCAAAAGTCAATGGTAAACCTCAGATTCTGTGACCCCAAATAACCTTCCCTCCTTATCAGTTGACCATCCCAGGTATATTGTCACAGCATTGGAAAGCTAAGTGTCACAGAAAGTTGGTACGTAGAAATGGGGCAGTGCTGTGACTCTGCCTGATGATGTGGGTCAGAGCCTTTGGAACTGCTTGGGGAAGGAGTTGGGAAAGGTTTGGAGATGTGGCTAGAGAAGAAGCCCTAGAACTCCGAGTGGAGCGAAAGACAATTCTGGTGTGGACTCAGGAGGGCAGAAGGCTGATGGGAATGCTGGCAGTAAAGTTCTGCTAGAGGGTTTAGATGGGGACCAGGACTGCACTACTGACCATTTGTTTTACAACCTGGCAAAGAACATGCCCACATTTTGTCCATTCCCTGAGACTGTGTGTGAGGCTGAGTTTGTAGGAGAATTGGGAGGTGGAGGCTAGTGAAAACTTGCTCAGGGAAAAAAAAGGTTTGAGGAGCAAACATTCAGGAGGAAGTTCCCATCTTTCTTCTGGGTGTGTAATGGTGCTGGTGTTGGGACATGCCTGGCCCTTGGTCACCTGGAGTCTTAGGAGGCTGATTCTTACTGGATCAGCTTTGCTCTGGATGGGCACAGGGTGCAGGAGGCAAGGAGAGAGGTCCAGCACTTCCTGTCCACACAAGAAACAGTTGTGTCCAGGGCATACCACTACCATCTGGAGGCACCAATTCTGAGTTCTGGTTTGTTTTAGTTGCGTGTAGCAGCTGCACTGGGTGCCAAGCCAGGCCATGGTCAGAAAGGATCGTCTTGGGTGGGTAGAGTTTCCTAGGGATGGCTTGGATGCAGTGATGCCTCTCTTCCTCACCCTTGGTAACTTCCTCTCCTGGGATCTTGGGGCCTGAGGTGGGGAAGGCCTGAGGTGTATCCCCTCTTATGGGAGCTGCCTGGCCACCTTCATTCCTTCTGACCTCTTTCATCTTCTGTGTGCTGCTAAGAGTGGGCTGCAGTGTCCCCTGATGGTGGTGTGGAGCCTGTGGTCATGTGCTCAGCCCTCCTTCAAGGGCCTCATGCCTATCCCAGAAAGGGGCAGCCCACTCATTTTAGCAAGGGCAGGCTGGGGGCAGTAGGTTGGGTTGTCCAGTGTAGGATTGGTTTTTTTTGGGGGAAGGACAGTGACCTAAAATAAAATGAGCCTCAGGGCACTAGCTGTACCAACCTCCCTTCTCCTATCTGGCTAGTCCTGGAGGCTCTCTGGAATGCTCTGACAGGTGGCACCTTTCCTGTGCTCTCTGCTAAAGACGCTACAGAGTGTGCCATCTGCCTACTGTTCCCAGAGAACTCTGCACTCAACACCTTCCTTGGGCCCCTCACTCAGCACCTCCAGCTCCAGACAACTCCAAGCTGGTTTTCAATCTCTTTCTAGGAAGACCCCTTCATTCCCAGAAGAGACCATGTAATGTGTGTTGCTCATTTCAAGGATGGAGCATAGACAGATCCCCAAATTGGGGAAGAGAGACAAGAAGATGAGTACAAAAGGACTGGTTACAGCCAGGATGGCACCTGCACAGTGGTTTAAGGCTCCAAATGCAAACACGTGTGGATGCTCACGTAAGCATGCTTCAAACACACAGAGGGGCTGTCACCTGATGCCAGAGGCTGAGCCCTGCAGGCAGCTGCCTCAAATATTGCAATTACATGGGTAAAAAGTGTCAAGGCCCTCCCCAGCTGCAGCTGAGAGCCATGTGTCCCAGCTGGGGAAAGGAAGCAAGGCGGAGGCAAAGGACTGGTCTCTAGCCGGCTCTTTTTCTTCTTGATTTGAATGAGCAGTGAGATAAGCAAGGAACACCAGGCAGTGTGAGAGGAGAGTGAAGTAGGAGGCCACACCTGCTGGGCCAGCCCCAGGCAGGGGAGAGGAGACTGATGGGGGGAGAGGGGATGTCACAGTCATCATTTTTAGGAAAAGAGGGGAAAAATAAAGCCCTCCCCACTCTTCCTTCTCCCCACTGCCCTCCAGACTTCTGGGCTGGGTGCATCCTGCTTTCAGTCATTATGCAACTTTTGGGAAAAGCATTTGCCATTCAGAATTGAATCAGAAGAGGGTTCCTGGCTGTGTCCTGTCCCTGGCTCTTCCACCATCCTCCTCCCGTGTCTCTCCTGTGGAGGCAGGAAGCATTGTGTGTGTGCAGGTCTGTATTTGTGCCCACTTTGTGTGTGTGTGTGTGTGTGTGTGTGACTTGCCCACAGCACAGGGGAAGCCACAGGTGTTCTGCAAACACTGGACTGCGAATTGTAATTCATCAGCCACCAGCACTGCCTTTCTCTTTCCTGCTCTTGAGATCTCTGGTTGGAATTCCTAAAGCTTGACCCTCTGTGGAGCAGAAGTCTGGGGTCAATCTGGAAATCCTCCTGTTTTTACCCCTCTCCACGCCAACTCCTGATTCATTTAGAAAATCCAAAGCAGCCGCAAAAGGAGAGTTGTGAAGATGGATGGGACCGTTGCCTTACATATTTGTTTTGGTTTTACAAAGAAGGAAACTTGCCATAAGATCCTGTTGTTCTGGAAAAACGTGACATCATGGAGGAAGAAGACTGATATTAATACTTACCAACAATGTGCCTCAGAAGAGCCTGGTACTGACCTGTTCTGGGCTTCCAGCCAAACAGTTCAGTGGCAGAAAAATAGCCCCCCCAGGGCAGCCCCAACATGTTTGGAGCCCACCTGAGTCCTTCCCCCCAAGGTGACCTCAGCAATGTGGGCAGGGTCTCAGGACCTCCTGTGCATCAGGGCCAAAGAGCTCTGGTGACTCCTGGGTCTTCCTGAAAACTTTGCTCGCCACCACTGGGGTGTGGTCATCCAAAGCCTGTCAGGCCCTCTTGCTCCCCGAATCCGTTGATGCTGTGTGGCAAGTGGGGGGCTGAACTGGGGACCAGGGGCACATCGCAGGACGGGAGCTGCATTTGACGAGTGATAAGGCCAGTGCTATGCGGAGGCCCCTATAGGAGAGGCCAGTGCTCCCACGGTCCTGCCCCATGCTAGGGTCACAGTATACTCTAGACCCCAGGCTCCCCCTGCAGTCCTCCTGCAAGTGGTCCCTATCACAGTGGCCTTCTCGCTTCCTCCGTTGTGGCGTGAAGTGCTGGGTACCTGGGAGGGAGGCGAGTGCCACTGCCCCAAGGGCTCTTATTTGAGGGTGCAGTGAATAAACACTGATGCCCAGGAACGCGTCCATGCTAGGCAAGCACTCCACTTTATTTGGATCTGTTTCTATCATATTTTGTGCTTTTGATATCATACTTTCTCTTTGGTCCTTATTTTTTCTTTTCCTCTGTCTTCTGCTTTTCTCCTCCTGAGCTCTCTTCCACACTGCAATCCCCTTCCAGACCCTTTTTTTTTTTCCTGTTTCACTATTGCACTGAATAGATTCTCTATTTTTTAGTTTTTAGCAGCTGATGTAAGTTTGGAGGAAAATGAGCAAAAACTAGCAGAACGAAAGTATTTAGAGAATAAAATCAAGCTTGCAAACACCCATCCTGAGGGATGCAGACTGCAAAGATCCCTGGATGTAACATGGGGAAGCAGAGGTGTGAGGGGAAGAGAATGTTACATAGTTGCAAAGCAGCTATTAAGGTACTTAGCAATACAAAGAAAAACATAGTAGCTGTGACAGTGGAGAAACCCAGTGAACACTGCCTGAAGGAAGTGATTAAAGTCAAGACCTCAGTGGAGGGACAAATGGATGGCATGTGTCTTGTGATATACTGCAGTTAACAGGCATATCACTCTTGCAGCAGTCTTGCCCAAAAATGCGCAACTGGAATTAATCATGGGCAACCTTCAAACAAACCCAATTTGAGAGACATGCTGTGGTTGACAGGTCCTCTTCAGGAGGTCAGGGAAGGGGAAGACTGGGGAAGCACTCCAACTTGACCCTGAGGACCTGGGCGCCCCCTAGTGGAGAGAGGAGGCGGGAATGGGAAGAGGCTTGTGGAGCTGTTTACAGTGCTGCCTTGGTGCAAACTTCCGGCTTCTCCTGGACTCTCACCCTCTGACCTCCCTGGGTCACTCACTCAGCACCTCTAGCCCTGCATAGCCCCATGCCAGTTTTCACCTCCCCCTGGGAAGCTCCCTCCCCATTTCCAGACGTCTTGCAAGAAGAGAACACGCAACACGTGTAGTCAGTTTATTTCAAGGCATGGAACATAGACACATCCCCACATTGGGAAGGGGGAGAGACAAAATCGTAGGTAAAAAAACTTGGAAGATGAGGGGTCAGTTACAGCTGGGATGGCACCCACAGAGTAGTTTAAGGCTCCACATGTGAATCCATGGAGATGCTGACACACGCACGCTTGCACGCACACAGAGTGCACGGACATAGGAAGTGCTGCCGAACAGACGGCAGAGGCTGACAGCAGCTGCCTTGAGTATTGCAATTATGTGTATTAAAAGTGTCAGAAGAACAGGAAGACTGCATCTGTCTGCGCACGTGGCAAGCTAGTGCCTCCCTGACCTGGTCCCCCTGTGCACCGCTCCTGCTCACACGCTCACACTTGTAGTCACTGGGCAAACCCTGGGCACAAGCTGGCTCCTCCTGGCTGTAGGGGTAGACGGGGTCTGGTACCTACCTGTCCCAGGCTCAGGGCCAAACAGCACAGTAGCAGAATTAACAACTTCAACTGTTCTACCCCAAGCAGCCCAGCCTGGCAGGAGCCTACCTGACCCCCTCCCCCAGGGTGACCTCAGCAATGTGGTCAGGTTCTCAGGAAGGCTGTGCTCAGGGACAAGGAGCTCCAGGAACTCCTGGGTCTTCCCTTCGACATGCTCCTGGGAACCTCCTCTCTTGCTGAAATCCAAAGCCTGGGCAGGACTTCCTGCTCCCCAAATCTATCGATGCCATGTGCAAGGTGGGGCTGGACTGGGCATGAGGAGGCAGGATAGCCAGGGGTGCATTGCAGGACAGAAGCTGCGTTTGGCTTTAGCATTAAGGCCAGTGCTAGGCAGAGGACCCTGCAGGCAAGGCCAGTGACCACCCCCCACCCCTCCCAAAGTCCCACTGCACCCCAGGGCACAGTGCTCTTATGGCCCCAGGCCACACCTGCTGTCCTTCTGCGTAAGGTCCTCTGTGTCACAGTGGCCCTTCTTGCGGGCCTCTCTGCTCCACAGGACTGGTATAAAGTGCTTGGTGCCTGGGAGGGAGATCTGAAGACCCAGCCCTGCTGCTCTAAAAGGCTCTTATTTGAGGATATAGTTCATGAACAGCTGACAGGCCAGGAACAAGCAGAGCAGGAACCAGGAGCGGGGGCTCTGCAGGAGGCTTGGGGCCAGCGCCTGCCTGGCCTGCACTGTGCAGCTCAGCATGGCCGAGAGGTGCCTGCAATGAATGACAGGGGTGGGAGTGTGTTGGGGTCAGCACAGCCCCCCACCCCCCCATCTGAGAAAGCTGCTTTCCAGGTGCCTGGTCAGATGCTGGGCACAAAGGAGAGCTGAAGACAGGACAATCTGTCCTGCCATGCAGGGACTTGACTGCAGATGGGGTGGAGGGCTCACAAGGGGGAGGGGTCCAGGGCATGTGGCTGTGCTGGGCTTCCCGGGTGCCCACACTGGAAAGAGGAGGGTCTTGGGCTGAGGAGCTGGGCCTTTGCATCATTGCTACTGCCACTGTGGTGATGGCTGAACGACAGCACTCCTTCCTAAACCCACATCCTGAAGCCCTGACCCTGATTATATACTCCAGATTGTGGATGAAAGTGGAGATGGGTCTTTATAGGACCATTAAGTTGTAATGAGGTCACTAGGATGACCCTACACCAATCTGACTGTGTCCTTTTAAGAAGAGACGATCAGGACACAGACACACAGAGGAAAACCACGAAAGACTCAGGGGTCTTGCCACTGGGAAGCCAAGGAGACGGGCCTCAGGAGGAACAGCCCTGTGACACCTTGGTCTTAGATTTCTAGCCTCCAGGATGAGAGATAATGAATGTCTGCTGTCACAGACCTGGTTAGCGGCATCTGTCATAGCCACAGGAACAAACGCACCCGCCCTGGACTTGGATGTGTACATCAGCCTTGTTGCTTTTCTAGCTGTGCTCTGGGCCACCTGCCTGGCAGTGGGTGTCCTTTTGGGGGGTCTAGGACTCCCCTTCTTTGCCCACAACCTGGACAAAGAGCAGGCAGCCATGAAAGGCGCATGGCTCTGCTGCTGAGTCACAGGGCAGCTGTGACATCAGCCTGAAGTGCTACCGTGGTCGACTCAGCAATACCTAGAGATCTAGTCAAGGGCTGGTGGAGTGGGGCAAGTGGTGAAACACCTGCCTAGCAAGCATGAGGCCCTGAACTCAAACTCTAATACTGCAAAAAAAAAAAGGAGAGAGAGCTGGTTAAGCATTGAGAGCTGGTTAAGCATTGAGTGGGGTGTGTCTTGGACATCAGGACTCCAGGCTCTCTGGACCCCTTATTCTCAGGCCTTTGGCCCCGGACTGGGAGTTACGCCGCCCCCTCCCCTGGCTCTGTGGCACTGCCGTGGATCTCTATCTGTGCATCCCATGATTCTGGCCTCTGGAGACCCTGACTAACACAGGAAGGCCTTCCTCATAGCCTGGGGCACTGGCTGTCCTCCCAAAAGACCTGCCTCCCAGGTCTCTCACCCCTGTGTCCCACCCTGGTACCCCCCCCCCCGCCCTGCCTCGTCCCCGTCCAGCCCCTTTGTGCCTCCCTCCCCAGGGTCCTATCCTGGCATGTCTTCTTTCCTTGACTCTTTCTCCTTCAGGATCCTGAGAGGAATCACAGCGACAGTCACAGCTGCCATGTGCTTGCTGGGTATCTGACCTGGAGCTCAGCCCTCCACACTCCCTGGGGCTCTGCCATTAATCCCATTTTACAGAAGGGAAATTGAGGCATGACAGACAGGTCCCTCAGCCTGGACTGGACCAGGAGCCCAGCCCTGGCACCGTGGTGGACACTACGCTCTGCTGTATTCTTGTGCTGTCTGCTGACCGGAAGGGACCATGTGGCCCTGGTGGCTCCCAGCCTCTGCGGTAATGAGTGTGGCTCCTGGAAATTCCCTGATTCTCACCACTCATGCTTGAAGAATCTCCACGTGATGACGCCACGGAACAGCATGGAGCTGGGTTGCCCAGAAGGGCGCTGTCTGTACCAGCTCCTCTCTGGGAACCACCTGCCTCTCCACTCCTTGGGGTCTCTCCTGGAACTCTTCCCAGGCTTGGGACCAGCCTATCACCTCCCCTAGGTTCCTTGAACCTCAGGCTCAGTGTTGGCCATGCTTAGCCTGCTCAGAAAACTCCTATGTGGCCTGCACCTCCAACCCAACTCCTGCAGGAACGCAGGCCTCCTTCCGCCCCTGGCCCCCTTCCTGCTTCCTGTGCCATCTGCCAAAGCCAGGGGAAGCCCAGGGAAGATGGCAGCCTGGCCTACCTGTGCAGCTCCTGCTGGGCCTCCTTGATGGACAGAACAGCCTCCTGAAGTGCTCGCAGCCGCTGAGCCTCTCTCCTGCACCGAGGACATGGGCTTTTGCTGCCTGGATGCCCCGAGGAACCAGAGACACAGGAGGGGAGGGAGAAGCCAGGGTGAGTTGGGATGTCTGGAACCCACAGGGGCAAATTCCACACAGAGGGAGACATGGATAGGTGCTGAAGGAAGTTTGGGGAGGGATTCCAGGCTCAGCAGGCCTCTAGCAAGCCCTGGGAGACAAGAGGTCATCCACTACAGAGACAAGGGTACCACTGAGGGCACACAGGCCACCCAGTGACAGCAAAGGAGCAAAGAGGTCCACAAATGCCAGAGCAGGGGGAGGCAGGGGAAATGGACACTGCCCAGCTTGCCTCTTGCATCGTTTCTGCAGCTCAGGAAGCGCCTGGCCTGGGTCCCTCTCCCTTCTTCCCTCAACCCTGGCTACACCCCTCATCGCCCCCTGGGCTGTCCCTCTGAGAGGGCAGAACCCACAGGAAGACATCAGGGCAGAGTGGGCAGAGGAGACACATCCCAGGAAGGTGCTTCTCTGCCTTCCCATCCTGCAAAGGGGCTGGAGGCAGGAGCAGGCACTTCCTTCTTGCCTTCCTTGTCAGATCAGGGCCCCTGGCACCCCTCAGATGGAGCTTTGTCTGGTCCCTGGAAGGCTCACCAGGGACAAAGTCGCCATCCTCATCTGAGAGCTCTGGACAGGATTCGGGGGTTGAGCCGCTGCTCTCAGTGATCTGGCTGTGGCCGGAGGGCTGGTCACTGGCCTTGCGGAGTCGCCGGTCTGGGCCAGGCCTCTGCAGAGAGATGAAGACACTGTAGCTGGGACTCCTCACCACTCCCCCTGCCACCATGGGCCCCTCAGGGATGTGATGCCTGTCTATGCCTGGACGGTGCTAGAGGAGGTTGGGACATGGAGAAGGAATCCAGTGGTTTTGGAGTTGGACAGAGGTGGTGTGAATCTCTACCCTGGCATGAGATACAGTAGTCATACCCTCTTTCTGGGCCTCAGTTTCTCACTGGTGACATAGAGCTGCTGACCCTCTCTGCAGAGGGTGAGGGCCAGCCAGTCAGCTCTGCACATGCTGGGCACTTGGCTGGCACACCACAGGTATTTCTCATTCCTGGAACACGGAGTGTGTGGGCTTGGCCCACCCGGTAAAGGCATCCATGGAGGACTCTACGCATGCCCAGGTGCTTTGTGCATGGATGTCTCCCTCCCTACTTCTTCCTGGAAGAAGAGCCTCCCTGCCTTTCCTCCTGCTTTTTCTAGCTCCCAGATGCATGCAAATACTGGGTCCTCCTCTTCCCACCTGGGCAAGTCCCTGGGCTGTCCTGAGCTTCAGTTTCCTCATCTGTTGAATGGGATAATGTAGCTACTAACATGGGAGAGTACAGCTTTGGGAGGGTAGCTGGCTGGGAGCCGGGAGACCCTTCACAGTGGCCTGCATATGGAGGCATGGGGTGCCCATGAGCTGGGCATCCTGCAAATCTAGGCATCTCAGGTCCCATCTGGGCAGGGAGGGCGAGGGCAGGAGTAGGTGGGGGTCAGTGGAGACACCCTCTGGGGTGGGGTTGGGAGCGTTTCAGAACAGGACACTGAGGGAGAAGAGACAGGCAGGGAAGTGAGGGATGTGGGTGGCTGCCATACCTGCAGCTGAGACCAAGCCTAGGCCGGGCCCTGGGAGTGTGCTGACCTTGTGTCCGGACCCTGGGCTGCCAAGGAAGGGGTTCTGAAGGGTCATGGTCTCCCGCTGCAGGGTGTGCAGGACTCCATCTTGCTCATACTGGGCAATGTCCTTCAGGGGGTCCCAGGGACTGTGGCTGGAGGGTCCAGATGGTATCCGTCACAGAGTCACTGGCCCTATAGGGAGGGCCTCTGTCCCAGCCCAGCCCTCAGCATCCCATGGTGACCACCATTCAGGGCCCATGGGGAGGGTTGGCGGGGGGCCCCTTCTCTCCCCTGCTCCTCTAGGGATTGGTTGAAGGTTGTGAGAGAAACCCGAAGTTCTCATGGTTTCTCAAGTCCAGCAGGATAGCGGGGACAGTCTGCCCCACTACGCAGGCCCTCAGGGCTCGTAGCGGCCACACTCACTTCTCGTATCGATAGCGCCACTCCTGGGTGAGTGGGTCCAGGTGGAACAGCTGTGGCTTCCAGGGTGAGAGGCTCTGCTGGCGCTCGCGGGTGCGTTGCCGCTGAGCCTCCTCCAGCACAGACTTCTCCTGTGTGGCCTTGTGCTGGTCACCTTCCCGGATGGCTCTGGTGACATGCTGCCAAAGCCTGTGGGCAAGGGACCTGCACTGAGCTGGGGCCTCAGCATCCCTGTCCCTCTGCACTGGAAGGAGGCTCAGAGAGCCTCTGTTTTGATTGCCTCCAGCAACTGGGAGCTCACTGCCTGCAGGGAGCCTGTATGACTGGGGCATTCCTTCCCCGAGATGTTTTTTACCTATGCTTAGCTCCTACCTCCTACCTGCAGGGGCTTTCTGTGGAGCTGATGGTCACCTACTGTCAGTGACAAGGTCCCCTCCATCCAGCTGTCCCCAGCAGGACATATGGTCTGCTACAAGGGATTCATTCTGAGGCCACCCTCCCTGCCAGGGGCAGGGTGTGCTCACAGCACTGGGACACTGCAACCTGCCACCTGGCCATGACAGCCTGAGGCACAGGCCAGGCCTCACCTCTCAGACTCCAGCTCAGTTTGCTCCTCAAACAGCACTGTGTGTCGCTTCAACCGCTGCCCGCGGATCTCCTCACTCGGGTTCCAGAAGAGTTCACTGCTCCCACTGCCTTCCTCCTTAATAAAGACATCTCGGTCCTGCCCCAGGTGGTCGGGTCAGGTCAGGGCTGCCAGCCTGGGCGATGACTACCATGGTGCCCAGCCAGGCTTGCCCTGAGGGATACTCCCTTACCCAGTGTCCAGTGAGACGTGCCAGGACCTCCTCTCCAGATGTAATCTTCCCTGAGATCTGGTTGATGCTGGTGCTGCCCCCAAAGAAAGGCTGCAGGGGAGGACCCGGGACAGACAGACACCAGGTGAGCAGGGAGGAGGAACAGGAGGCCCTGTCCAAAGGTGCATCCTCTGTCCATGGCTGGGATGAGGCCCAATAGTGGAGGGGGCCAGCCTTGCCCCAGTGCTTAGCCTGAGCTCTGGGTGGCAGGGTCCCTGCTGTGGGGAACAGGGCCTAGGCCTGTCCTAGCTCTGCTGTGTGACCTGCAGCAACCTCTTCCCCTCTCTGGGCATTGTCTGTCCTATGGGGCTGTAAAGACCTGCTCTCCTAGGTGTACATGTTTGTGAAATCTCCCCTGGGGTGCAGGGAGAGGAGTCCCAAAAGCCTCCCTCCTTCCCCTACCCACGCTCCCTGTCCTGCCTCCCACAGGCGGTGCCCTGCTACCTTAAGCTTGAAGTCCAACTCAGCTCGGAGGTCAGTCTTCTCACATGTGATGGTCACTTTTCCCCCCAGCTCCAGCGTCATGGTGCCATACAGGATCCCTGAAAAGACCCAGTGTTGGGGTTGAGAGGGAGGAAGGGTGGAGGAGAGGGATGGTGGCACCCCCAGAAACACAGCTGGCATGAAGAGGTGCTCATGAGGGCAGAGGCTGGAGCGTGACTTTCTCTCAGTGAATGTCCCCTGGAAAGGAGCCTCCGTCCTTGCCAGCGCCTTTGCTCCAGTTCAGGAGCCTCCACTTCCCACCTTCCCCTTGCACCTCCAGGAGCCCTGGTCCAGTCTCCCATGAGATACTTATTGCTTCTGTCACTAGGCTCTGTGCCAACACTATCTTCTGGGGGCACTGCTATGTCCCAGGATGGGGCCCAACACATTTAAAAAGGCCAGGACATCTTTTTCTCAATTAACCAAGGAAGAGTGAGTCTTCCATCTATGGCCTGATTATAAAAAAAATAAAATTAAAAAAGTAATTCCTAGAAATCAAAGGTAAACGAAACCCCCAAACTAGAATCAGGTATCAGCTGATAGCGTATCTTGGAAGAGACCTATGTCAGGGGACCTTGAAAATCCCAGTGGGATCTACTAGGATAAAGACCATTGTAAAAACCAAACCACACCCATTTTCAGTTCTGGCACTGCTATCCTAAGACTGCCATGCCTGTGATGTGGCTTAAGATGCAAAAATAGCCATGGCTGGGCATAGGACTGAGCTTTTGGTGTAGGGGGAGGAGGATTCAGACGTCAGGCTGAGGAAACACCCAAACCTGCCAGCTTGAACCTGATGCAAAGTGCAAGCGTGGATTTGACATCTATTTTAATTCTTTTCTTTCTTTTTCTTTTCTATTTTTTTTTTCTTTTGAGATAGGGTCTCACTATGTAGACCATGATGTGCTAGAACTCACGACCCTCCTGCTTCAGCCGGGATTACAGGTGTGTACCATCATACCCAGCTCTTATGATGTTCTTTTAGTCAATTATTCTTTAAATTAAAGAAATTAAAAATAATTGAAATGTTTTTGACAGTACTAGGCTTTGAACTCAGGCCCCTGAAGTTGCTAAGCAAGTACCCTACCACTCGGGTCACACCCCTAGACCTTGTGTCATTTTTTTTAAATGCACGGATTAGCAGATGAGACTGCAAGAACAAAAGGGAAATCCCCTGAAGAAAAAACAAAGGAGGAGGAGGAGAAGGGGCAGGGAGACAGAGGAGGAGGAAGAAGAGGGATGAGGAGGAGGAGCACTTGGATTCTGAGCTTCTGTGGGGAGCAGAGGGCAGGTCCCAGGCAGATCAGCATGGGGAGCTCCTATTTCCAGTCATACCACAGAGCAGGGCCTGTGACAGGCCCCTCAGCAAAAGGCAGAGCTGCAGAAAGCCCACCACGGCCGGCCGAGGTCGAGGGCGCTCACACAGGCCTGCTCTGGGCTGTGTGTAGGGATCTATGGGAACACTGTATTTCTGCTCCATTCTCTGTGAAACAAAACCTGCTGTAAAAATAGTCTTAATAAAAAAAAATAAGACAGAAACTTAAACCTTGACACAGCAGTGACACTGCAGAGCACCAAAGACATGTAAAGTTGTACCCAGCAGGGCTGAGGGGTGACAGGACAGCTGGCTGACCATCTTTACTGTGGGCACCAGAGGCAAAAGCAAAACGTTTTGCTCTGCCTGGAGTTACAAACCCAACTGTGAAAGTCATGGACAAGGGAGGGTGAGAGAAAGAAGTAAAAACAAGGGCATCTGGCACTGCAGGCCCTGGCGGAGGCCAGCCTGGGCTGCTGAGGGCCCGCTGGGGCTGCACTCTTACCTCTGCAGTGGGCATAGGGCATGGTGAGGGTGTAATCCTCCATGGGGTGCAGGAATGTGAGCTTGGCCTTGCCATCCAGCAGAGCCGACAGTGAGTTCCCTGCGGAGACGGAGACAGGGGCAGGGGACCAGTGAGTGCAGAGAGCCCCACAACACCTGGGCTGCCCCGAGGCCATCAGGTCTGAGCAGTCTTCCAATAGATTGAGAGTTCCCGAGAAGTTATCTGACCTGCTGTGTGTGAGGGGCTTGTTTCACTTAGTAACCAGGGAGTCTCAAAGGTGGAAACTTTTGCAACCAGCACAAGCCCTTGATGGATTTTAAATATCCCATATGGAGGATGGACCCCACCCTGGGCTGAGAGTCGAAGCCTCTGCTGAGACAGGAGCACAGGGTGGAAAGGTGAGTGGAACCTGAGTGCAGACCCCACTGTCTCACACTCTCGGTCGTGCCACACGTGGCTACCAAAAATGTGATATAGTCCATGCAACTAAGACACTGTGTTTTCAGTACGATTTCACTTAAGTCTACTTGTGTATTTACTTAGTTATATATTTTTGCGGTGCTGTGGGTGGAAGCCAGTGCCTCACACCTACTAGGTAAGCACTTTATCACTGAGTTGCACCCCAGACCCCACCTTAATCAATGTAAGCCACACGAGGCCGGTGGCTATGGCCCAGCTCAGTTCTAGATCACATCTTTCCACACGGCCTTCTCCCCCATAGTCCTCACAGCTTCTCTGCAGAAGGCATGCACTCTCAGCCAAAAGGGGTGAGGCCCAGACCCACGGTCCCTCACAGGGTAGGAGGGACATGCTCAGAATACCACAGGAGGGCCTGTGGTCCACTGGATCCTGGAGCCCAGTCCTCCCCTCGTCCCTGAGGCCCCGACAACACCCAGGGTGAGGCCCCCTCACCATAGAACCTGGACTTGGCTGTGATGCTGCCACTGATACAGAAGCCATCTTTCCGGTTGCTGACGTGGAAGGCAGACACTGGCGGGTGGTGGGACACCTGTGGGCAGAGAAGAGGCTCTGGAGATGCCCAGAAGGGAAATCCCAGGGAATGAGTACATTTCCTATCTCTCTCTGGCCCCAGCATCAGGCATGGGGAATTCCCAGGGAACTTGAGGTGAGTGGGGCCTGAGTCCTGGGGCCTGGGAGCAGACTGGAATCCCTGAGTTGTCCTGGAGTGTCCCCTTGGGAAATGGAATCTACTGTCTCCTCCCTCAGGTGATGCTGCATTCTTACAGGCGACACCGTGCATCGTCTGGGAGGACCCCATGGGCAGTAGCCTGGCTCAGAGCCTTTCACACTGGCAGATGTAGGGCCACCAAACACCTTGCACTCGGGTCAGACTAGCCCCACCACTGCCAGCTGCCTGCCAGAGCTGGGGGAGCCCACACCCTGTGCACAGCTGCAAGTGTACATGTGTGCATACGTGTGTGTGCACGCGTGTGTGGTCTCACCTGCTCTGCGATGTAGAAGGTGCGGCTATTGGTCTGTGGGTGGAGCCAGCAGCAGCGGAAGGTCTCTCCCAGGATGGGATTGTAGGGCTTCTTGATCCCCTGCAGGGGGCAGAGGCATCGGAGGAACCAGGTGGGAAAGGGCTGCTGTGTGTGCGGGGTGGGGTGCAGACCACGGGACAGTGAGCGTGGGGGAAGGCCCACATCTCCAGAGGGGGACTGGTTTGCTGCCAACATCCAGCAATCGCACCCTGCTTCTGCTTTGGAGAGACAACTCTGTCTGTGGTTTACATGCAGGGGGACAGCCTTGGGTATCCATCCTGTCCCCTTCCTAGCTCAGAAAGAGACTCAAGACCCCAACAAGGTTACATTATCCATGGATTTCGGGTACAGCCCAGGTACAACCTGCTTTCAAAGCTGAGCTTGGGATGCACCAGGCAGCCAGGAGACCTGGCTCTACTCCTGTCTGCTGTGTGACTCGGGTGGTCCCTTCCCCTGTCTGGGCCTCAGTTTCCCCATGTGTGCAATAAAGACGTGGAGACAGAATCTTGGCTTTCAATCTTGTGTCCCAGGCTCCTGGTAGGGTTTGGAGAGTGGGTGCAGCAGTGGGCTCTTCCCCATCACAGCTTTGCTGTCAGCTGGTCCTGAGTTCCTCAAAAGAGGTTCTGTGACTAAGAACCCATGAAAGTCTCAATCTCAAAGATACCTTGAGGTCCAGGGGCCAGTGCTCCACCATGTGTATGGTGGAGACTCTGACACAGCCTGAGGCTGTTTGCTTGGGATTAGGGAAGGGGTCCTGCTTAGGTCTTTCAGGGAATAGGGACCAACCTTGGGGGCCTGCCCTGAGCAGCCCAGGGGGCCCTCTAAGGAAGTCAGGCCCTGTCCCCATCTCTGAGGACCTGGGCCATTATGGGGATGGCCAGTATCCTTTAAGGCTGATGGTGGTGGGGGGAGGGCTCCCCAAGGACTCAGGCCCAGGCCTGGGGATCAGGGCTGAGAACAGGCCCTGGCTGCAGCCTCCTTCCCACCAGAACCTCTCACCTTGGGTTTCTTGTAGAAGCCGGACAGGTACCACCGCAGCACGAGCTTGATGCGGCGGTAGGGGTCCTCCTCTAGGGCTGCCCTGAGGTGGGGTGGGGAACTTTGACTCCAAGTTGGGATCCCGCCACCCTCCATACCCTCCAGCCACCCCCCATACCCTCCAGCCACCCCAAACTCCATCCACTCAAAGGAAACAGGCCGCCTTGCCCAGAGGCTGTGGGCACCCCTGCTCCCATCCTGGCCCTGAGTTAGGGGCATTTCTTTGGGAAGTGGGTTCTTCACTGACCAGAATGCACCAAAGGTGCTCCCATGCTGGGACACAGAGGGGGCCGTGGCTGCCTCCAGGAAGCCCCTGGGATGCTTGTGCCCTCACCTTGGTGAGGTTTGCCTGGTTTGTGTGTGTGCCGCCCTTTCCTCCCTCCATGCCTGCACCGCTCCTCCCACTGGGCACACCTTGACAGCAAGTCTGCATGGTAGTAGTAGTCCGAGAGCTTGTTGAGAAAGGAACGGGGCTCCAGCACAAACGTGGGCAGCACCACGCGGGACAGGTCCATGCCCGGCCGCAGCTGTCGTAGCAACACCCACATCAGGTTCTTGTTTTCCTCTGACACCGTCTCCACCTGGGACATCTCGCCCAGCTGCAGCAGAGAGCCATGGTCAGGACCTGGGAAGCCTGGCAGGGTGGCCCTGAGCCCAGCTGCCTGAAGGAGCTGGAGGGCAGCAGGGGTGGGGGGATGGGGGAGGAAGGCACAGGTGGCCCTGGCTGGAGGAGGCATGGCAGGAGGTGGGGCAGTGTCACCTGACCCTTAGGTGCAGAACTTTGGCCTGGCCCTGCAGTGTCAAGAGCTGCGCTCAGCTGCATCTGCCCCTTACCCCTCCTAAAATGTGTCCTCCCTGACTGGTGAGGTGCTGCTGGCCCTCCCCAGGCCTACTCCTGCCCACCTCGGTCCCTTGTGTGTGGGTCCTGTCCCTCTTTTGCCCCTCCATTTTCGAACACGTAGAACTCTGCTCTGAGCCCCCAGGCTCTTGGTGGAGCAGCATCTGCCTGGGACCTTGGACGGGTCCCAACTGTCACCTGTCCAAGTGGTCCTGTCCTGCACCCTGCCCCACTCACTCTTTCTCATAACAGCATAACCTTCCGGCTGGGACCTGCCTACTCCATGTCCAGTTACATCCTGAGCCCACCCCCTGCCCCATGCCCTCAGCTTTCTCCTGAGTACCACTCCTCCCTGTAGGGACTTGCACTCCAGTCCCCTCCCATCCTTCAGCTGTCCTTGACCCCTGAGAAAGCCCAGTGGGGCGTCCCTGGCACCCTCAGCCTGAGGCCCCCATGGCCCTCAATCTGTTCTGTGCAGGCACATGGGGCCGTCCAGCCCCGTGAGCAGCCCAGCTGTGGGAAGATGTAGCTGTCACAGAGGTGTCGTCGTGTCTCCAACTGGACACAAGATTTCACAAAGCACCTAGAGCAGATGAGGCCACTCCGCACGGTTGACCAAGACAAGCAAAACTGCTATGGTTAGGTCATGGCATGTTCCCCAGAGGTCTATGTGTGAAAGCATGGCCCCCCGTGTGGTGTGGTGGTGGTGACAGGTGGTGGGGCCTCGTGCATGGCAACTGGGTCACTGGAAGAAATGGATGCTGGTGTTAGAAGTGAGCAGGCTCCTGAGAGAGTGTCCTGGTAAGAAAGCAAGACTGGCCCTCCCCACTGTCTGGCTCCCTGATCTCTGGGGATCTCCTCTTCTCACATGTGCCTCTGTCATGATGGTATCACCAAAGAACGTCTCCAGAGGCCAAATCGAGGAGGTGTATGATCTTGGACTTTGAGCCTCCCAAACCATGAGCTAAATAATCTCCTTTCTCTAGAAAGTACCTAGTCTCGGGCATTTTGTCATACTGAGGGAAAAGGGACTAAAGGTGCTGTCATAAATGATGAGAACCCAAATCCCCTTTTCCTGCCATTCCAGGGGCTGCTGTCTATGACAGCCTTTCTCCTTTCTTCCCAGCTTCTGAATGGAAGTTACCATGATCTCTGATCACAGAACCCCAGCTCCCAATAGCATGTGCTCCTCAGCCAAGCCTGGCTTGCTCCACCCATGTCCACGTTGCCAATCTGAGGCCCAGATCCTGTGTATCGGCATTTCCTCTTCCTGCGCGCATCTCACTGTGGTGACTCAGCCTGGCTCTGTGCTCTGACACCGTGTCCTCTCCAGGAGCACTGACTCCTTCCCCTGCCTTGGGCTTGGGCACCATCATCCTTCCTGTCATTCAGGTGTTCAGAGATACCCCAACCACCCACGCAGGGCACCCCTCCTGTCCATCATAAAGCTCGTTCCCGTTTACCCTCCTCACAGGCTCCCCGTGTCCTCTGTTTTTGTAGGTGTGTGGGGTCAGTTTTCCACAACTATATTAAATACCTGAGAAAACCAACTCATAAAGAGAAGATGTTATTTTTGGCTCACAGTTTAGGGTTTCAGTCCGTGACTGGTCAGCCCCATTACTTTTGGGTCTGTGGGAGGGGTATCGTGGACCAACCTGTCCACCTCATGGCTGGGAGGCAAGAGAGGAAGAAACCAGCATCTCACTGTCCCCTCTGAGGCCACACCTCTAATGGACCTAACTTTTTCCCATGAGGTCCTGGTTCCTAATGGCACCAAGCTGGTGGCCAAGCCTTTAAGACATCCAAACTATACAGAGGCTTACAGTTCCCTGCTGACATGAGTGTGGAGCCTAGCTGAGGGAGCCCAGGGCTGTCTGGTTCATGCCCATGTCCCCAGGGTGGGCACGGCCAGGCGTGTGAAGGCACCCAGTAAGTACAGGACCTTTGTCCAGATGGGGTCAAGAGTCCCTCCTGAGCTTCCTGTTTTCCCAGGGCTCATTCCAGGTGGAAGGGGAGTGGCCTGTTTGTGACAGGACCCCTGGCCCCATCCCTGTGTTAGCCCTCCAGTGGGGCCGTTGAAGGAGCATCTTTCAGAAGTGGGGGATGGGTGGGAGCAGGGAGATGTTCACCTGCTGCTGTCCATATGCCAAGGGACAGGAGGGCAGAGACCGTGCTCCTGTGTGCGCTCATTACCAGCTGTGCTCTGACCTGGCATCGCTGCTCTGTGCCATGGACTAGGGAGGGCAGCTCTCACCTCCCCCAGCTCCTCCTGGGTCTGCTCCACATAGGTGGTCCCCCTCCGCGGTCCCCTGGGGCTCTCCGACTGGTCACTCCCACTCTCAGTGGTCTTCCGGCTGTGGTCCTGTATCTCTGCATCCGAGCCTTCTGCATTCTCTCGTTCCGACTTGTCTGACAAGGCATCATTCTCCAGGTGGCTCTCCAAGGAAGACCCGTTCAGCCTAGAAGATGGACGGCCTGTGGGTCCCCGGCTGCGCCCACCCGGAAACCCTGCCCCTTCACTGTGGGGGCTTCTCACAGGGTCCTGGGTTTAATGGCCTTCAGCGTCAGCCCCATTTTATGGATGGAGAAGCTGAGGCTGGGGGGCTCACAGCAGGAACAAGTCGGCCTCCTCACCTGCAGTGGGGCTGCTCCCTCTGCCTCCTCCCACCTACAGTGACACCCGGCCTGCCAGGCTACTCACGGGAACAGGTCCTGATCTGGGTGGATGGCAGCTGAGGTGGGCAGTCCGTAGAGGGAGGAGGGTGATGCGTCTGGTGAGGACCCCGGCTCCCCTTCACGGCCCTGCCTGCAGGTGCTCAGTCGCAGCAGGCTGGAGCAGCGCAGGGCCAGCTCCAGGGCGTCCAGCCAGCAGCGACCTGAAGGGACACAGAGTGAGCCCAGTGGGGAGGCCTCCCCTGCGCCCCCTCTCCTCACCAAGTAGCCTCCATTCCTGGAAGCTCCTTCTGGAACCCCCACCCCAGCGAGGGAGCCCACCCTGTTGGCCATGCCCCCCTGGCATTACTCCTCCATCCAATCAGAATGAAGATCAGCTTAGGCTCCCGCCTTCCCTGCTGAGGCATGTGGATGTGTGTGCGGTGGTTAGGGGTGCAGGGCAGACATCGTGAACGCCATGTGGCTGTGGACTTTCTGAGCAGGCCCCAGGTAGCCATCAGGCAGATTCTCATGTAGCCTTGTCACAGCCATCCAGGCTAAGGCCAGATGGTAAGAGCTCTCTCAAGGTCACGTGGGCAAAGCTGGCCTTCCACCGGGAGGGAGAGCCAGCAGGTTCCCCATGTGGAATGGAAAAAAGAAACTGCAGGTTGGGGTGCTAGGGCTCCTGCTGTTCTGGAGCATAGGATGCCTATGATCACCACCATCCCACTGTCCCCAGGGGTGGTAATAGCCATGGGGACACATATCCATCGAGGAGACACCCATGTCCTGGTGTAATCACTAACAGCAGCCCTTCCACTCACAAGAGCATCTTGGGATGGCCTTTAAGTGTTCACAAGAGAGTGAGGCTCCAGCTTAAAAAAGTTCTTACTGCTTCTAGCTTTTATATTGGGACAGTCTTGAAGCCTGAGTTTTGTTCCCCAACTTAAAACCACGGGACCCTGCTCTTGGTGGAGCATCCCTGCAGCCTGGCCTTGGGGGTCACTCTGGGAAACTCGGGAGAAACCCCCTGGGATGGGGGCTCCTGGTTCTCTGGAGCTGCCTTCTGGCTGGGGGACATCTGGAATCCTGCTGGGGTCACTGCAGGGTTGGTTAGAGTCCAGTGCCCTAGCCTGGCCTAAGCATTCGCAGGGGTGGGCTGGGGGGTCATGGGAAGTGACCAGAGCTGGAAAGGCACACTGCAGAATTGGCCCGGGGCCCTGAACATGTGCTGATGTTATGCATCCTTTGAGGCCATTCTGAGGCCTCCTCCTCCTCTTCCAGGAATCCTATCCTGACCCACAGGGACTACAGACACCCTTCCTCCCAGAGAATGATCTTCTTCCCATCAGGGACTCAGTTTGTGCTTCAATTGTCTTCTTGTCTGACGATATGCTGTTTTCCCCACCCCCGCAAGGTTGTAGGCTCTAGGAGGGCACAGCTGCTCTGTCCACCGGAGGGCCCAGGTGGGACAGGGCACAGTGAGGGAAATGATCTTAACATTAAAGGGATTCCAGCCAGTCAGGGACAGGAGTGTGATGTGGCATTTGACCATGAGGGGGCAACATGACACCAGCAGGAAAGACACCTGCCAGACTCTGAGCTGGGAAGGGCTGGAATCCAGCAGTCCAGGTCAGACTGCCTTAGTGGATCCTGGCATGAGGGCTTAGATGTGCCACCATGACCCTGCCTAGGGGCTGTCACTTGGGAAGGAATCCTCTGAGTTACAGTGATGAAGGTGGCCACAGCTGCAAGCGATGCCAGTCAGAGCAACCAAGAACCTGCAAGTCCACATTCAGATCTGCAGTCCAGAATGTGCTTGCTGGGGGCTGCCTCAGTTTCCCCAACTGTCAGATGTGAATGGTCTCAGCAGAGCCCATTGGTCCTCTGGCACGTGGCAGAACTCAGATTTGCTATCTGGTTGCTTCTGTAAGGTCCTTTGGATTGTCCTACCATTGGGGTTACAATGCTACTGGTCACATTTAACCCATGGGGAAACTGAGGCTCAGGTCAGAGGGGTACCAAGGTGAGGCAGGGCTGCCTGGCCCCAAGTCCTAGTTGTCTCCTTGAATGGTGGTGACACAGGGCCTGAATCATGGCCAGCTGTACCTGAACTACAACCCCACAAGGGGCTGCTCCCAGGATCCCCTGTGAGACAGAGACACAGGACACTCACCATCCGACTCCGATGCGGCCCTGAATATCAGGTAGCTGCTGGGGAGGGGCTGTGTGATGGAGCCCACACTCTCGCCTTTGGGGCCCTGGAGAGGCAGAGATCTGTGAGGTCAGGCACATTCTCTGGCTGACAGAGAGAGAATCAGGTGGCTCCCTGTCCCCTGCTGGGGTTTCCGCCCTCTCCCCTCCAACGCTGAGCTTCCCGATTTGAGGAAGCCAGAATCAACAGATGCCAATTCAGCATGCCCAGGTGAACTTGAAGCTCAGAAATGATGAGGAGCTTTTTAGGATAAGTGTGTCCTATGAACCATTTGGGACATATTTACAAAGACTGCACCCCACCTCGTGATGCGTTGACATACGACATTTTGGCTTTCTGATGGTGCAAGAGTAGGCCCGTGGACATTCTTTTTTCTACCTTTGGTTCAGTGTCCAATAAATTGCACGAGCTGGTTGACACTTTAATATAAAATAGGCTTTGTGTTGGACGATTCTGCCCATCTGTGGGCTGCTGCAAGTGCTCTGAGCATGGCAAAGGTAGGCGAGGCCAAGCTGTCGTGTTCAGCAGGTCAGGTGTGTTAAATGCGTTTTTGGTGTGCGGTACTTTCAATTTTATTTAAAAATTGTCATTTCTCTGAAATCTAAATATAACTGGAGCATTCTGGATTTTCTCTGGGAACCTGTCCTGGCTCGGCAGCCCCTGGCTATGAGGTGTGAGAGCTAGGCCAGGAGCAGGCTTGCTGTCCGTGAGGGGTTCGAGGTACGAACCTATCTCCGTCTCTCACCCTAAGGTCCACCATGGCCTGCGCATGGAGGATTGGTGACCACATCAGATCCCTGGCCCTGTGTGAGGCTCACAGAAGTTGAGACTGCTGGAGGCTCCCCTTTCTGGAGGCTTCCCCCCACCACTGCAGCCCCAGGAGGAGTCCCCTGAGCCTATGAGCCACTCCACCCACCCAGGTTCCCCAAGCCTGCCTGGTGGTACCTTCACGGCCCAGACGGACTGGTCCAGTGGGTGGAAGAGCTTGAAGCAGAAGCCGTCCTTCTTGAGGGCCTCTCGATGAGTTCGCAGCAGTGCAGCAGCACAGTACCCACCCACTGGCCCACCTTGGGTGTCTTGTAGATGAGCAGCACGCCTGGCTTCAGGACACACCACAGCTTGGTCCAGCTCTTCAGGGTCCCTCGGATCTGAGGGGAGGGAGATGAGGTCACTAACACCTGGGACTTCTGGGTAAGGGTACACTCTGTGTGCCCAGCGGGGGCTGGCACTGCTCAGGACAGCCAAGCCATGGTAGCAAAACCCTGGGAACTAAGAGCAGAGCTCACAGTTTGCCCTGCTGTGGCAGGCTTCCCTTCCAGTTTTTAAAAGGAAACTTTATTTACTTATTTTTATTTTGGTGGTACTGGGGTTTTGAACTCGTACTTGCTAGGTAGGTACTCTACCATTGGAGCCACTTTTTACCCCCACTAGCCTTGGACTCAGATCCTCTCACCTGTACCTCCTGCATAGCTGGGATGACAGGGGTGTGACGCCATGATTGGCTTGTTGAAATGGGGGGGTCTCACTAACTTTTTTGCCTCGATTGGCCTTGTATCTCAATCCTTCTATCTCCCAAGTAGCTGGGATTACCGCCGTGAACCACTGTGCCCAGCAAAAGGAGCCTTTAAATGAATGCTGATGGATCCAAAGACATACAGGGAAGCCAGGGACAGACTCACTGGAAAAACTCATGGAGGTCAAGGTCAAGGTGAAGCCCCTCACAGGGTTCTGGAAAGAACTAGCAGGGAGTGGTGGCTGTTGGAATCCTCAACTTTACAAATTTTGGTTTCTATTTCCAAGTCAGTCTCCACTCTGTAGCTAACTTTCCACGCATGACTTTGGAGTGGAGGGGGAGGCTGGCTCCTGTACACTTGTTTCATTTCCTCTCCCGGCAAGCCTGGCGTCAGGCCCTTTAAGCTGAACTGCAGGGAGGGGGACCCTGACACCCAGAGGCTTAGTGCCTCAGGGAGGACTGAACTCAGTCTCCTGTGGACTCGCCACAGGCCTGAGTCCTCAGCCACCAAACCAGGGCGCCTGCTACATTTGGAAATGGAGTCTTGGTAGACATAATGGAGGAAAGGAAGATGGAGCCACTCGGAAGCAAGGACATTCTCACAAGAAGTGGCCACAGAGACATGTAGGGATGATCATGTGACCACAGACATAGGGACTGGGGCCATGTGGCCACACCCCAAGGGACACCTGGGGCCCCCAGGAGCTTCGAGAGGCAGGAAAGACTCTCCCCAGAGCCTTGGTCTATGGTCATTTGTCATGGCAGCCCCAGGACACTCACACAGGTTTGCAGTGACAAACAGACCAATGGTGTCCCAAGTGGCCACAGCCCTCCCATGTCTGCTGGAGCCTACCTTTAGGCTGTCGGCCATTATGACCACGCTGGGGTCAGTCAGGGCGTTGAACAGCTGCTTCGTGGCTCGCTTCTTCTCCTGCCTGTAGCTCTCTTTCTGTGCCTGCATTGTGGCATCAGTAGGTAGGTCACACAGAGGCCCCTGGCTGCCCCAACTCTTCCCTCACCCAGCCCGGGCAGGGGGAGAGGGAGAGGAAGGGGAGGATGGGGGTGGCTGCCTTTGATGCCTCCCCTTTCAGGTACCAAATCACATGCTGGTGCCCATGCCCCCAAGTCAGGGCCTACCTTGAGAGTTTCTTTCTTGGAGACCCTGGCTGTTGGGGACACACACTCCTTGTCTGACCCATTGCACAGCCTGTACTCTGCCTGCAGGAGAGAGACTGGATGGGCAGGGGCATCGAGGTGCAGCCTGAGGCGGCAGGGGTGTGGGGGTGGGGGGGGAGCCAGGCTGGAGGCCAAGGTGTGCCTCACTCTTGCTTCCCAGCACCCTCCCTCCAGCCTGTCAGCACCTCTGGGGGTGGAGGAATGAGGTGTTTGAGGGCAGCCCCTTCCCTGAGCCCCCAGGCAGGGAAGTCAGGACTACTTTGTACAGAGGGAGACCTGGTCCTTGAGGGAAGGTGGAGGGAGGGTCCTCACCAAGGCTCTGCTCAGGACAGCAGGACATTGGGATAGGTGACGTAAACACAGAGCTGAGGCCTTGTCTGCTTGGACACACCAGGTCCCATTTAGGGACTTCGTCCAGTCATCCCCCTTATCCATGGGAGGAACATCCCAAGACCCCCAGCAAAGGCCTGAAACTGTGGATATACAGAAACCTCTATGATGTTTTTTTATTATTCATATATAGCTATGATAATGTTTAATTTATAAAGTCTATACAGCAAGATAAACAATAGCTAGTAATAACAGAAGAATTGTAACAACACACTAGAATAAAAAAGTTATGTGAATGTGGCCTCTCTCTCTCTCTCTCTCTCTCTCTCTGTCAATTGCCACTAAGTAACTAACGGGCAGGTAGCTTACACAGCATGGATACCTTGGACAGCAGGACAATTCACACCCCAGGCAGGATGGAGCGGGATGGAGGGAGATTTCATCAGCTTCTTAGAAAGGTACAAGTTAAAACTTATGAATGGTTTACTTCTGGCGTTTTCCACTTCATGTTTTCAGACCATGCATAACTGAACTTGCAGAAACAAAACTGTGGGGAAGGGCGGAGCTATTGTATTCACTCTCCTAATCCTCTGCCCATGAGGTGGGTGCAGTTCCAACTCCCTTCGTGGACTGGGAAGCCGATGGAGGGTGGGGTGGGGTGAGTCAGCCCCTCAAGGATGCAAGTGCCTAAGTAGCAGGGCAGGACTTGCGCTTTCAGCCTCCGCCTGCCTGGCTTGGCCTTAGGCACTGAGTGAGGACATAAGGGTAACTGTTTGACTCTTCGATGCCCAAGGGCACAGAGGTGAAAAGTGGTGAGGTACTGTGTGCAGGGTTTTATAATTGTGTGCAGGGTTTTATAATTGTTGCAGGCTGTAAGCACATTAAATGCAACAACTCAGGTCATTATTATCATCCACGTTCCGTAGAGGAGGAGAGTATTGCACAGAGAGGTTCAGAAGCCTGCCAAGGTCACACAGCTCATACGGAGCCTTGCTGAGATCAACCCCAGCAGCCTCACTCCAGAGCTGCCCTCTCTTAGCCCATTAAGAACATTCTAGGCCATAGGAAGAAAGAGACAGGAAGGGGCACTTTGTCTGAGAGGCAGTCAAATCTGAGTGATGACTCATGTCAGACCTCAGCCAGGTGACAGCCCTCTGAGGTGACAAACGATCAACAAGGTGCCCTCCTGGCAGTCCTCTGAGCCAGGGCTTGTCTGCACCTGGAACCCCCTTCCTCACTGGGGCAGCCGCTGTCCCTTCCTCAGAACTCAGGATTTCAGAGTCTCACCGGACTTTGCGGTCTATAAAAGTAACCAGAAATGTAACCTGGAACAACCTCCAGAATGGGGCAGAATATTTGCAAATCAAATCTCTGATAAGGGTCCAGGATTCTGAATGCATAAGAAACTCCTGCAACTCAACAGGAAAAAGACAGACAAACAACCCGACCCAAAGACGGGCAATGGACCCGAGGGGATGTTTCTCCACACGATGGACAGATGGCTGATAAGCACGCAAAGACTCCTCCCTCTCAGTCATCCAGGCAATACAAACCCAAGCCACGAGATACCACTTAGGTATAAAAAACAAAGTAGAAAATCCCGAGTGTCAGCTGGTGAGGACGTGAGGAACTGGCCCCTTTGGGCCTTGCCGGTGGTCGTGTAAAATGGTGCAGCTGCCGTGGACAGGAGTTTGGCAGTGCCTTTAAAAATTAAAAATTAAACACAGAATTTTTTTAGAATTCTGTATTACTGTAAAATTACCTTAAGAGCAATTCTGCTCGTAGGTACGTCCAATAGAACTGAATTTCTATGCACCTGCCTGTCCACTGCAGCGTGGATGCAGAGAGAAGAGAGGCACACACCTCAGGCGGGTCTCCCTGGAACAGGAGGTCCCAGGCTTTCTCTCACCAATTTTGTGTTTCTAAACATCCCCCGGCAGTCACCATCCCTTCTCAGATCCCTTGGGTTATGCCAAGAAGGTGGCTTTAATAAGACAGCTGAAAGGCTCTGTGACTGTCCCTTGTTCAGTAGCCCTGCCTGGAATTCCATGGTCAGGAATCTGGGGCTGTTCCCAGATCAGGTGGGGAAGGGTGGGCTCAGCCAGTGCCCTGCTATCCCCTGAGCCAGGCTCCCTGCCCCTTGGTCCTCCCATGGCTGGGCTCTTACCGGTGGCACCTTTGTGGCAGAGCCTGGGGTTGGGGGCTCTTCATCCTTTGCTGGTGACATGCCATTGGCCTCCATGTCCTTCCCTGCAAGACAGCAGTTGGGGTGAGGACCAGGGCACAGTGGGCCAGGCTTCTCTGTGAGGCAGGGGTGACACAAACCTCCTGGGTGGGGCAGGAAGCCAACCAGTGGTGGTGGTGGTGGCCAAGGGACACTGCCCTAAGAGACAGAGTAACTGTCAGCAAGTATCAGTTCTGGGAGGGACCCAGGAGCTCTAGCCCAGCCTCCATGACCACAGGGAGGAAGCTGAGAGGAGCTGGCGGAAACTGGGGCACCTGGGCCATTGGCCTTGGACTCTGGGGGAGGTGGTCAGGCGCTGTCCTTGGTCTTGCCACAGGCTGGCAGTGGGGAGGAGGGAGGCTCCAGGTGTCCGGATTCCATCTTGCAGAAGTGGCTCTTCCCTGGTTCTGTATGCTAGGAAGCTCACTTTCAAAGGGCATTTATGGGAGGAGGAGGAGGGGAAGGTCACAGAGGAGGTCAGAGCCAGCCTGCCTGGTGGGGCCACTTACACCTGCTTCCTGTGGTTGGTGGGCCATGGCTTACAACAGAGGTGATGGGGGCTGGAGTGAGGCTCCTGTGGAAGCCATAGGCCATCAGCCAGGGATAGTGGGAGCAGTGAGGCCAGCTGCTCATAGGGCTGGCCGGGAGCCCAGAGATCTGTAGACCACCTCCCAGGCAGCCCTGGGAAGGGGCTGGGTGGGACTGGGGACCAGGATCCACTCTCTCTGGAAGTTAGGATGGTGACCTGAGGAAATGGTTCTGTCCAAAGGTCATGGAGCGGCTGTCACTCAAGGTCATGTAACCTCCCTGTCCCTGGCATGGTGGCTGCCTTGCCATGTGACCCAGTCCATTTAGGATGACGGCACCTCCCTGGGCTAGAAGAGCTGTCCCCAGATGACGGGCTTCCCGCTCTCCATGGCCGAGTGGACCTTGGCCCTGGTTCATCCCACTCAGTGCTTTAATGCCCTGTGAACCCTTTGTGCATCAAACCCAGTCTCCAGTGTGAGGTGTGAGCAGAGCAGGGTGTCGCCCTCCCTGGCCACAAGGGCAAATGGGGCAGGCATGGGACCAGCTGAGGTCACACAGCCAGCTACAGAGCAGGATGGACCCAGCACCAACCTGGGTTGATTGGGCTAACCTCATTCTCATAGCCCAAGAGCATGTTCCGTGTGAGTTTTCGGGGGTCAGTCTTCTGCGGGGTGGAGGCTGGTGGACACAGTGAGAAGCGGCGCCGGAGGAAGGCCTCCTCCTTCATGGCGGGGGCACTGGGGGCCTTCTGGAAGGAAGAAGAAAGGAAGGACACACAGTCAGGCCTCATGGCTGACCAGGGCAAAGCTGCAGCTGCATAGCCTAAGTGCTGGAGGTGGCCCCCACCTGCCCAGGAAGGGGACCAGAGACAAGGCGGTGTCGGGTGGGTGGTTGGAACCCCTTCAGAGACTTCTTAGAGAAAGGCCACACAGCTAAGCTCAGGCAAATGGCTTGGTGCAAAGCTGGTGAGGAGAGCCATGACAAATTGTGGCTTGGCACAGGACATGACAGACATCTTTCTTTGAAGATCTCCCAGATTCTGGGTCTCCAGGACCCTGGTCACAGCCAAGTGGACCTGCGTAGGCCACTGACCAGCACTGGGTCACTGGATTTTCCCTCCTGGTGATGGTGCTTGGTGGCAGGAGACAGCCACTGCTCAGACAAGGCTAAAAGCTGGTGCGTCCACAGAGAGGACACAGGGAGGCGAGACCAGGTAGCCACACAATGCCAAGGAGCGGCAGAGGACTGGGGTGTCCCTGGGCTGTCCTGCTCATCCCACTTCAGGATCAATGAGACCTCTTCCCCTTGCCTGAGCTCCTCTGTTCAAATCCTGTCCTTCATGAGCCATGAGTCTGTGCTATACCCTGAGCCCTAACAAGGAGAGAAGGCTCAGGTGTGCTCAAGCCAGAGGCACCTGTCACACCACCGCAAGAGACCATGTTCCTGCCTCACAGTGGCAGGAAGCACCTAGATTGCGAGTGCAGAGAAGGAGCAGCTGTGGGGGAGGTACCATAAGCAGTCCCACTGCCACGTCTCCTCCCAGCCATTGAGGCCATGGCAAGTCTGAATTGCAGCCCCTCCCCTGAGCCCTCATGGCCCCAATCCAAAAAGGGCTGGCACAGCAGAAAGCAACTGACCAATCCCAAGTGAGGGCGCTGGACCCACCCAGGCCGTACCCATTTTATATAGGGGAGAACTGGGGCCGGGAGAACTTCAGGCCTCGCCCACTAGTTATGGCCTAGGAGGTGTTGGCAGAGTGGAGACTCTAGCTTCCAGACCTGTGTCTGTCCACCCCCTGAGGACAAGGCTCCTTAAAGACATACTGGCTAATTTCCTCCTAGGTCAACTTAGGATGAGGCCTGAAGCCTCTCTGGGTGGCTGATGGCTCCCCACCTAGCCAAGGACAAAGGCCCCACTTCCTCTGACCCCAGCCTCTCTTGCTGGCCTTGGGGGCCAGGTGGGGCTTCAGGAGTGAGCAAGGTACCACTCAAATGCAGTTCAAGTGCACCCAGAAGCAGCCATTCTATTGCTGACACCTTCAGGCCAGCACGGGCCCTGCAGATTCCTCTGTCAGGCTCAGCAGGGAGGGCTCAGTCCCCTCAGTGACTTTAAGGCAGGCTAGGAAACAGGGAAAGAAGTCTTGGGACTTGCAGACACCATGTGACTTTTCCCAGTGCATTTCACATTAGACCTTTCCCCTCTCAGCCCAATGCTCTTCTTTGCAGTTGAAAATTTCTTTTCTGTTGTAAATCCTCTGCAGTCACAAGACAGGAAACCTTGAAAAAATTCTGCCCTCATTACCTCTCAGGTAAAAGGCCTTTGTGTAAATGAGTATTGAGCCTACCTCATACATGCGACTAGGATGCCTGAGAGCAGTGCATTGCAGTGTTCCCTAGGTTGCATGAGGAGACCTTGTCAAGCAAAGCTGTCAGTCACCCTACCCATCATGCAAAGAGCACCCAGACTATTCCCATCCTTTACCCCTTCAATTATAAAGGCGCTTTGAAACCACGACCTGCCTACATACTTTGATCCCAGCTAGTCAGGGCACACCACTCCTTTTTCTCGCGGTGGGTGACTTCCCCTCACTTTCAATAAACGTTACTACGTTTTTGGGTCTTGCTAGGAGTCTTCTGACCAGAGTTTTTAGAGACCACCCATCCTGTAACAGCTTCAGATCTGAAGAACTCTGCTGAAGCCCTGGCTCCCCAGCTCCCCAGTCCCCTAGCCCTCCCTCACAGTGCCTTACAGGCACTGCTGCCTAATGGCCAATGTCACACAGGACTGGGGTGGAGGCATGCATTTCAAAGGTCAAGCAGATCACCAGGTCACAATCCAGTCCTGTCCCTCAGCCCAGAGCCCTCCCGACCCTGTGCCCCTCACCTTCATTCTGAGGAAGCCCTCTCTCACCCACTCGACTCCAGCCACTCAGGTCCCCTTTATAGTCCTGGAACATATGGAGCCCATTCCTGCCGAGGGGCCTCTGTACTGGCCCTTCCACTGCCCACGGTGCCCCTCGCCCACATCTCCCGGGCTGTGTCTTGTCACATTCCGCACTCAGGAGGGAGTGTCGCCTCCCAGGGCTGCATAGTGTGCATTCCTCACATAGTTCTGGGGCTCCTGGAAGCGCTCTGGCTTTCCTTTTCATTTTTCTTTGTGGCACTAGGAACTGAACGCAAGGTCTTGCACACAATAGGATAGGCAAGTGCTCTACCACTGGGCTCATCCCCAGCTCTCTTCCTGGCGTTTCTTTATTCCCTGTTAAAACTTCTGGTATCTGTTTTGCTCACAACCTGATCCCAGATCCAGAGTAGGGACTCAAAGTAGGTGCCACCTGAATGAGAAGATGCCTGCATGGTGACCTAGGTTTGCAGGGTGGCACGAGCTCCCTGATGAAGGCACGAGGGCAAACCCGGAGCTTACCACACTGGTTCTCCTTATATCAAACTCAGGAAGGGTCCTCAGAGAGGTCCCCAGGGCTACTTACAGGGCTGAAGTCCATGGTGACCTGAGTGAGGTCCTGGCCAGCGGCCATGCTGGCATAAGGTATAAGGATGAGTGTTTTCAGAGTGCCTGGAGTGGCCAAGAGTGAGGTGGAAGGTGGGGGTGCCCTGTGCCTGGAGGGCCTGCAGACCCTGGGGCTGCCAGCTGGGAGACTGGCCTGTACTACCTGCTGTGGGGAGGCCCTGGGCCTGGGCCAGGTTCCAGCTGGACTCTCTCTGCATCTTAGATTGTACTTCCTGAAGCAATCGGAGGCCAACACATGGGTTACTCCCACTGTCCTCCTGTGCCGAGTGTCAGCAACGCCACCTCCCTGCTCCCCTGTCCCCCTTTACTCGATGTCATCTGAACACCGCTGGTCCTCGCCCACAGTTACCACAGCCCTTTCCTGCTGCCAAGAGTGATTCCCTTTCTGCGTTCAGCTGTGACCTGGCCTGGCCCTTCTCATCCTGAAGGCCAAGTGAGGGATGGGACCCTGTTGAGCCCTGGGAGGAAAGAGCCCAGAGCAAGACTTAGGGAGACTGGCCATAGCCTGTGGACATGCCTGCATGTGTTTGGAGAAAAAATCATGTTCTGCCTGGTGGGGACCCACCCGGGGCTCCCTGGTCCCTCCTTACACAGAAGGCTGGGCAAGGAAGCAAGAGTACAGTGACTGGGGAAGGGGGCACTGGATGTATGTGGCCAGAATTTGCTTTTGTCCAGGCCAGAGAGGAGAGGGGTTTGCAGGCTTGGAGTATCAGGAAACCCTGCAGACCAAGGCATATCTGACCTAAGGCCACCTAACCCCTTTCTTGCACAAGTCTAAGTCAGTCACCTCCAGAAGAAATGTCATGGTTTCACTGCTGGAGACAACGGTGTGGTCAGCTGCACTCTTGGTTCCTGGAAGACTTAAGGAAACTTTCTCTAACACCACTTCATCAGGCAGCCAGGGTCCCCCTTGGGATATCCTGCTGGTAACTTGAAGCAGAACCTACCTCCTCCCTGGGGCCCTGTTTTTTGTTGCCATTACCGTCAGCTGATAGGAATCCCAGTGACTATCACTGGGTGCATGTGCCCCCAGGAGTCTCCCTCAGCACCTCGTCTTGGGAGCACCAGACTTTATTCAATCTTGGGGTGGATCTGGGTGACCAAGGTGGCTGGCTTCCCTGTCTTCAAAAGCTCCATGTATGGCAGGGCCACTGCTCTCCTCTTCCTGTTGGTCCTAGTGGAGTGACTAACCAGGGTGGACCCTGCCAGCGCAGCTGCCTTTCTGTCTTAACTTTGTCCAAAGTCAGAGCCCACAGTAGGGAGGGGCGAGCAGCCAACTTTAGACAGGGGCACTTGAACTTGGCTCCCGATGAAGACTTGTGACTTGGAAGAACATGGCTCTGAGCAGAGGCTGAGTGCATGAGGCTGGGGGCCAGCCATGCATCGGATGAGGGGTTTGCTGGGGTGTGGGTGTAGAGGTGAACCCTGACCCACAGGGTACCAAGGCTGAGCATTGCATCAGGGATAGATGTGGGTACCAGGAAGCCTAGGCAGGGCCAGTGGCCAGCTGGGGGAGTCTGGGGGGCCTGTGGGTGCCAAGTGCCACAGGATAGAACAGGTGGAAGGGAGGTAGAAGAGGGGCTCTACCCTAGCCCCAGACCCCTCTTGTCTCTCCACCTAGGCACTGACCTGGGTCTTTGCTTCTCAGGGTGCTTTGCAGGACTCTGTGCCTTCCTTAGAGGACCTGCCTTTCCCCTACAAGCTGACTCTTCCCCACTTGTCCCTGTCCCTGCAGGAACCTTTCTTGACCTCAGCAGCTCCACCCTCTCCAGCCATGAGTCGATCCATTCTGGAAGTGCTGCATTGGCCTGTATGTGTGCTCAGCCCGCTGGGTACAGAGGGGTTCTAGTAGTGGAAATCAGCCAGGGGCGTGCCCTGCCATGGAAGTCCAGCGTGGCACAAGCCCCACATGGACCAAAGGACAGCAAGGCTCCCTCAGGGCCAGGAGTAGGTGGGGCCCCCTGGCAGTGGCTGTCCAGGCAGGGCAGGAGTGGACATACCTTCCTGCACCCTTCTCACACCCTGGCACCTGGCTCCAGGGCCCTTCCTCAGCTCTGTCTCTGCCCAGGGCTGATGGACATGCCAGCTCTCAGGCCTTGCTAGTGCTGTGACAGTGTCCACAGCTCCTGCTGCTCCACTGTGGCCACAGCCAAGATACATCCATGTGGTCAGGCCTGGGGCAACCCTGCCTGGCGGTGGGGCCTAGACATGCTGACCTGC